GAATTATCTGATGATATAATTTTTTTTGTTATTAAGGCTATTTTCTTAGCTAATTAGATTTTATTAGTTTGTTATTACAGAACTATCATATGAATTGTTTTCTAAAGTTTTTACAAGTATATAATGAGTATACAATAAGCTATATGTACAACTTTAGTTATTATCTAATTTAAGTAGTTCACTATACAGATGATCGACATCTGTTAGTTCTATACTATGCTATCATATCTGCAACTCGCCTATGAGTTTACCTATTTAAACACTCTGATCATTAACCCTTCTTGCTATTTTAAACTAACATCACCACTATAGCTAACTGCTTAAGCCAACTGGCTATCTGTAAATCCATTTACTGTACAGCTTAGGTTCTCTCAAGATATATATGTCTAACATATTATGAGCTGCAGAGCTCTAGTTAATCTCAGAAGTAAATCTACTAGAGTAGTCTATATCTATTTTATGAATTCACTTAGTTTAGACCCTTATAAATATTTGTATAACTCCAGTTTCTATTTGGCTTTTTACTAGTTTTCTGTGTCTATCTTCTTAGATATTTCATGAAGCAGATTCTTCTAATCTAGTTAGCTGCTAAGCCTAGTTGGTATTACTGATTCTTCCTGTAGAATAGATTTATACATATCTGACTCTATCTGTATCTTTTAACTATAAATTACAATTTTAATCTTCTTCATTTTCATAGCTTCGACAAACAAATTCTTCATTATTGTATAATTTTATTATATCTTCTTTATATTCTTGATATAACTCTGCAATTTTCTTTTTCTATTAAAGATAAAAAATATTAGTACGTCTGTATCATGCTATGAAACAACATCACCACTTCAACAAACAGGTTTTGAACCATAAGATCTTTTTCACTACAATGCTATGAAATTTCACCACATCCTTCGAACACTAATCTGATCCTCATCTGATCATCTAACGAAATTATTATGATCAGAATTCAGAATCAAACCAATATGTTCTAGTAGCAGCATATACAAAATCTCAGCACTAAGTAAGAAATAGCTTACCTTTATTTAATATTTTAATAAATAAAAGTTTCTGGCCAGTTTCTAATTAAGAAACATCAATAACCAAAACTTAAAATCATCCAACCAAAGATTGCTAAAATCTATTTAAATATTTTTGAATAAATAATCTTGTAAATAAAAAGTTGAATATCAAAATTAATCTGATATTCTTCTGGTAATGTATTTGAAATTAAAAGAATAAGTAAAATTAAAATCGTCAAGATTGAAAAAATAATCTTGCAAAGCATTTTGAATTAAATTTTAATAAAATTTGTAAAAATTTCTGTAAAAATTTGTATAGAGATTTGTATAAAATTTGTAAGAATTTGTAATAGTTTGAAAGATTTTTACAAATGAATCGTAGAGATTTGCAGCTTAAAAAATCAAATCTTTATATCTCTTCCTAATTGCAGATCTTGAATTCTAATTGGTGAATTAGAAAAATTGTACGATATCAAAAAATTCTCAATATTCTAAAATTAGAAATATTAAAAGATAAGAGATCTTTTATCTGATTGGTTCTCAAAAAATCATACGATTTTTCTTCAAGATTTTAAGAATATTCCTATTTTAGAAGAATGGAAGTAAACAAAGATGAGTCATTAGTAAAAATCATATGCAATCTTCAATTAGATTAATTAATCTCTTGGCAAAATAGAATTTATTATTATTAGTTTATCATAAAATTACTAAACAAATAACTTCGCCTGCAGTGAGCTTTTTTTGCTATAACTTCCACACGTTCCTATCGCACAGGCTTGTACTTCAAGGTTTTTAAAAATATACACATGGGCTTCCCAGCCACACATGAATTAAGATAAAATTATTAATTTTTTATATACCAAAATTTAATAAAGATTATATAATAAAACTATAAAATATTACAACACAATAGCTTTAATATTATTCGCCTCTGAAGCTGGCGTGGCTTTTTGTTGGTTACCAGCAAAGCTGGTAATGTCTCTAAACCTGATTGCTTACGATGCTGTGGCTGATTAAATTTAATTATTTAAACCTTGTTTATTTCATATTCTGATTTGGGTCCTTCACCTGATACAACGTTGTTGAATCGCCTCCCAAATCGTCATATGAAATAATATAAACTGATTAAATATATTCAATATTTTTTGTCTGTTATTATTTTGATACGAGATACCCATATTGTTGATATGGCTCGATTCCAATCTCATCTCGAATCTCATAGCAAACGTACAAAAAACATCTTGCCCACTTGATAATTTATTATCCTTGTTGATGTAATCCCACAGAGCTTTCTACAAGGTGTTTGTTGTTTGTTCTCTTTTTTTTCGGTGGAAACGTAGATAATTATTAATGAACGCCATCATCGCAAGCTTGATGTTTTCGATAATAATCATCAACGTTTGCTGGTTAAATTATTCTAAATACAAAATATAATTACATATTTAAGATTCTACTTCAAAATAGGTTGATTAATACTAGCGTCTGCTTTGCCAGCGACACATTAGTCACTTCTTTTTTGGCTAATTTGCCATTGCCAAAAAATAGTGAGTGCCTCTGAATTAAATAAATCCTCTCTCTCCCTCCTCCTTGCAGTGTGAGTTTAATTAGAATTTTTATGATGTTTCGAATGCCTCGTGCTTATGTCATATGAGAATTAAAATTCTCATATGAAAACACTACTCATTTTCAAAACATCTCAAAATTTTTTAATTTAAAATAATCTGCAATATTAGATAATTTATTTCTTCATAAATTAAAATAATATTTTGTTTAATAAAATTTAAGTAAATATAATATAAAAAAATTATAGTAATATAAATAAAAAAATTAGAATATCATATATAAAAAATTTATAATATATATATAAAAAATTTATAATATATATATAAAAAAATTTACAGTAAGTATAATATAAAAAAATTATAGTAATATAAATAAAAAAATTAGAATATCGAATATAAAAAATTTATAATATACATATAAAAAATTTATAATATATATATAAAAAAATTTACAATATAAAAATTTTATAATATATACATAAAAAATTTATAATACATATATAAAAAATTTATAATATATATATAAACAAATTATAGTATTATATAAAAATATTTTTTATATTATAATTAAAAAGATTATCGATAAAAATTTTTTTTATCTATAAATTTAATATTATTGTTTTCAAAAATAGAAAGATTTTATGTACGAAGTAATATATGAACTATAAAATTTTTACTTTTTTTCTATGATTTATTCATTTATTTTTTTATAACTTTACAAAAAATTTTTACAAATCTTTAAACAAAATGCGTTTATATTATTATTTAGTTATTACTATTATTCTTCTTGGTCTTCTAATAACAAATAGTATTGAAGACTTTGATATTTATAAATTTATTTTTAATATTATATATTCAAAAGAGTTTTTTATTCTCAGAATGATAATTTATTTAATATTTATAATATTTAATATTATTTATTGGATATATTTAATTAAACAATATCCTGAAAGATATATATATTGAAAATAATAAAGGTAAATTTAATAAGCTAAATATTTTTTGTTATAATTTTCTAAATCACTCCATGTATAAAGATATTTAATATTAAATTGTTCACAATATTCATTTACTTTTTTAAGATAACATTCAATTAAAATTATATTTCTTTCATTCACATCTTCTACTAGATCTAAAGTATTATTGATATAATGATATTTATATCCTTCATTCTATCCATAAAAAGTTGATCTAATATGAAATTCAATCCAAGATAAAAGACTATTCAATCTTTTATTTTTTGTATTTTCATAAATCTTGAGAGATAGATTTATAATTTTTTCTTTAATTAAATAGTTTTTAAATTTTTCATAACTTGTAAATAATATATATTCACAAATTTTTATTTCTTCAAATAATTGTTCTTCATGATCGATAATGAGTAAGGGAGTTTCAAAGAATTCTTCTTTATTATTTATCGACCATGTAGAATAATTTTTAGTTTTTTGTTGATTATCCCAATTTGAATCAAAAATATTTTCTTTCTTTTGTTTTTTAAAGAGTTTGTTGAAGAGTTTCTTGATTAAAAACATTTTTAATAATAGATTTTTTAAAAATTACAAGTGTAATTAAAGTTTCTTTACGTTCAATAAGTTTTTAATACTATTATTTTTAAAAATTTAATAAAACTAAAAATATATTTATTAAAAATATTAAACTAGTTTGTTATCAAAATAATTTTATTAGTTTATATAAAACACCAATTAAATTTTGTTAGTTATTATTATATAAAATATTTTTAATATAGTTAATATAAATCATGTGATTTTTTATACGTTAGTAAAATAAATTCTGTATCTGATTTATAATTAATATATTCTATCAAAAACAGAATTGTAGTAATAATTATAAACAAAACTTCAATATTTCTAAATGTTTTAGTATTAATGAGAAACCATAATATAAATGAAATTGTTAAAATGTATTTTCACCAAATAATAAAAAATAAATTAACTACTTTAAAAATCTTGTTAACATATGGAAGATTACGAATTTCCCAAATATTTTTTAGAATATTCAAATAATAATCACTGATTAAAAAGTTCAAAAACCCTATAGCAAAACTCGTAAAGTAATTATTTACATTATTCTGAAATTCAGTAAAATTAACCTACTCATGGTATCGTAGTTTTTGTAAAAGTTCACTATTCATTACAGATAATGCTTCAATCTTCTTTTTATCATCTTGTATTGTATTAAGTTTATTTAGTATCAGTTGTTCTTGATTCTGAAGTATTTGTAACTGATTTATCTTTGATATTAAGTTTTTCTAATATATTATTGATTATTCGTTCATATTCCTTGATAAAATTTCTTTTTCTTTTATCTTTTTTTGTTGATTTTGAATTGTAGTCTCATAGGTTTGATTTGTTGATAGTAACTGTTGACAATTAATTGTTAGATTTTGATTCGATTTTTTTAATTCAGTATTCTCATTTGATAATTGAATATTACTATTATTCAAGTTTTCGATAATTAGTTCTTTGCTAACTAATTCTTTACCGAGATCACTATTTTCAATTTTTAAATCTTCAATTTGAACTAAGATTTTCTGCTTTTTCGATAAAAGATTTGATATTTTTATTTTTTTTAAAGAGTAAAATATTTATTTATAGTTATTTTATTCATTATTATTATCTTTATTTTCTTCATCTTGCATTAGTATTTCACTTGATAATGCATCATCTAAAAGTTTACGTTGTTGAAGATTTCTCTTAAAAATCTGATTTTCTTTCTTCAGAATTGAAACGTCATACTCCAATTTTTTGATTCAAGTTTCATGATTGTATATTATAGAGTTTAATCTTTTGATTTCATCACTGAATTTTGAAAGTTTAAATCGGTTGCAAATCAATTTGTTCTCTAAACAATATATACAACTATTTGGAAATTCCTTTGAAGATTCACATTTTATTCTTTTCTGCTTGCAGGTTAGACATCTAGTGTGTTTGCAAAAGATCTTTTTTTCTTTTTTTAATCGTCCCATATTTAACAAAATCAATAAAAGTTTTGATAAATTCTTATTCTATATTTAAATTTACAAAAAATAATTTTAATTAT